CCGTTTGTTATTTTGGGAGTCGTGTCAGGATGATGGATATAAATTACCTTTTCAAAGTTCCGTGTCTGTTGAGTTTGATCGGATGATTAGTGTCCCTCACCAGTCTTCCTTCCCAGAACTCCCACTGAGCATCGCATGAACTTTCTATTGTTTCCAATTCTTGGGCCTCGTGACTTTCATCATGAGAATGATTCCGTATTTCTGTGAGTGAAAATGAAACACATTGAATTTCTAATTTCTCTGATCTGTCCTTTAATGTCTTCATTTTTAAAAAATCTTTCAAAGGTAAATGATGTTGCCTGCCTCGAAGTGTCACATTAAAGTCCCACAGGAGTCAATCATTGCCCCGGTCTTGAGTGTCTGTAATTATTTGGGCGACGCTGTGATGTACCCTTTTTTTAATGGGCCAATTTGCATAGCCAGTGCGTAAACACTGCATTTTGTTATGTTGATGGAAGCTGTGGGTAGAGGGCCCTTCATCTGTGCTGGTGTGGCACACTGATAACGCTGTTTCATTCCGAAGTGATTTGTCAGTATTGAACAGATGGCTCATCTTTGTCTGCTTTCACATCCTGCTTCATCTAATCATTCATTAATTCTTTGTTCCATATTATTGACCCGGTGACATCATCTTTCCTCCTAGCTTCTACCCCTCATCATGTATACAAATGAGTTTTTTCCTCTGCGCTGTGCGTCACCTAAAGTTGAGATGAGACATCCGGGCGGAAGGTTCTCGTGGCTTTCGGCACGAATTGTTCGCCCCGACACTTTTACTGCGATGTATACACAGAAGACCTTTGCCTCCCAGGGACGGTTGCACTAGGTCGCATAGGAATCCAAAGAAGACAAGACTCGGTGTGATCTTTTCTTTCTGAGTGGGCCTGCTGACACATCTTACAAGCAGCACTGATATTCAAAATCAGGTCTGTTTTAATGGTGCACACCATAAAAAGATATTGTAAACATGTCATATGTACACATTGTGCATCAAAAAGTAATTAAAGCAATACGTAAACAATAGCACCGCTTACCAGCAAAGCAGAAAATGAATGGGACTGAGCAATAACCATATGTCAAATTATGCTGCAGTGAAGACTTAAGCAATATGTAGAGTTACTAGTAATGTACATTGTATACAAGTCCATAATATACGTATCAATATATGTGGAACCTCTGTGGCAACTGCTACATAATATCAATGATTCTTTAGTGTTTTCAGAATATAATGTAAATACTTGTGTCATGATTAGTGTCCGTAGTGGTTATAAATATCAAACCGTTTCATGTACACTTCGTTGGCTTTCATTCACAGACAAATGTATTCAGTGTTACTGCTGCTAGGAATGTGTTAATGGGCTGTAGAGCAGCATATAGGCAAGCCTGGAAATATTATTCATTGCATTGCACAGTATGTATGTAATAAATACATTCACCTCCATTTCCAATAGAAAATGTTTACTTTTGATGCATTTGATGTGTTGCCAGTGCATAAAAATGCTGCTACATCATCTATGTGGCAGTGCAGTAACCTCAGTGTGCGGTCTTGTTGGTTTTCACTCTGAATGTAATTTGAGTTATTGTTGTTTTTACACTCTGGGACTTGTTGATAAAAAATGATTATAGAGTAAAAGCATGCAGGATGGAACCATCTTTTAGCTCATCCGGCTGAAGGACCGTCTGTTTGTGTCCATCCACAGTTCAGAAGACCTGCTGCTCCCCCTACAGTATTTGTCAGATTTTAGTGTAATATTTGTAGTTTTGTGGGCAATAGCCTGCGAATTGTGTTTATTGTGAGTCAGATCAGCTGCAAGAAACAGATTCTGGTTGTGTTCGAGATCTATATGAATGCAGGAACATCGTTTTCCATAATGTTAGTGGTGCTTGGTGCAGAACTCTTGTTTATTCAGTTTTTCCTTTACTTCCTTTGTCTCCTAAAGGCTCAAAAGGCTCCAGAAGTCATTTTGTTACTTTGGGGTGTTTTTTCACGCAGGGTGCTGCGTTGAGTCATCTGGAAGCTCCTCGAGTGTTCTCTCCAGCTGTTAGAGTAGCAGGTAATGTGGCTAAACATTTCTCTGAACCTGGTGGACATGAGGTTGTAGAGGATGGGGTTGACGGCGGAGCTCAGGTAGAAGAGAACTCCAGAGATGACGTGGACATGCTCGAAGATCCTGCGGTGCTGCTCGTATGATATGTTGATGTAGCTCCACATCAAGCGATCGATGTGGAAGGGAGCCCAGCACAGGCCAAAGACAACCACCAGCACACCTAGAGCAGATGGAACAATGGATGTGATTCACGGGGCACATAAATTATGTTTTGGGACACCAGTAAAGTCTCTAATGGCAGATGACTAGTTAAGCAAAATATTGTAAATAATCTTAAAATAGTCAATTTAAACGCAAACATTTCAGAAATGTTGACTATGGGGTCTTGATTTTTGTAGGGTTAGGGTTTAATTTAGAATAAAAATATAGTAAAATAACACCTACATAGCATTTTGGTTACTTGCACGTTTCGTTTGCTCAGCCTCTGCCTGTGGGAGCTGGAGATACTTTCAGAGCCGAAGCCACAGTTAGTATCCACCGTGGTCAGCACCCTCTCCCTGCGCAGCCTCAAGCCAATGAGCAGGTAGAGAACGCTAATGATCAGCATGGGGAGCAGGAAGAAGACCAGCGTGGAGATCAGGATGATTAAGTTGTACATCCAGATGGGTTTGACCAGTTCTGAGGATATATATAAGATAGGATAGCAAGAGAAACAGAATAAATCTGAGCAGTGCAAATGAAAATGTCTAACACAGACTTTAACCT